AGATCAAAATTCTTTTCCTTTCGAGCAGCACCAATAGAAGTACAATGCGAATCACATGTGTAATAGTAAATTTTCCCATTGGCAAATTTGAAAAAAGTAAAAAGAAAAGGTGAAATTCAAGACTTTTGTGTTTTAATTTTGCAGTTCTTAACTGTGGTGAAATGTACATAATATAAAACGTACCATCTGAGCCATTTTCAAGTGCATAGCTCAGTAGCGTTGAGCGTTGTGGTGCAACCAATCTCCAGAGCTTTTCCATTTTGCAAAACCAAAACTCTCTTCCCATTAAACAACTTCCCGTTCCCCTCCCCCCCAGCCTCTGGAAACCACAGTCCTATGTTCTGTCTCCATGAGTTTGATTACTCTAAGTATGCCAGATAAGTGGAATCACACAGTATTTGTCTTTTTTTTTTTTTTTAAAGATTTTATTTATTTATTTGACAGAGAGAGACAGCGAGAGAGGGAACACAAGCAGGGGGAGTGGAGAGGGAGAAGCAGGCTTCCCGCAGAGCTGGGAGCCCGATGCGGGGCTCGATCCCAGGACCCTGGGATCATGACCTGAGCCGAAGGCAGACGCTTAACGACTGAGCCACCCAGGTGCCCCCAGTATTTGTCTTTTTTACTGACTTTTTTCACTGAATAATGTCAAGTGTCATCCTTGTAGTGGGTAGCGGCATCTCCTTCCTTTGTAAGGCTAAATAACATTCCATTGTATGGTTTGTTTATCCATTCAGGGACCTTTGGGTTGCTTCCCCATTTTGGCTATTATGAATAGCGCTGCTATGAATGGGGGACGTACAAATATTTCTTCAAGACCCTGCTTTCCATTCCTGTGGGAAATATACCCAGAAATAGAATTGCTGGATCATATGATAATTTCACTTTTCATTTTTTTGACAAGCTGCTGGACATAGGCCCATAGCTGCACCATTTTGTCTTCCCACCAACATCACACAAGGGTTCTCATTTCTTCTCATCCTTGCTAACACTCGTTATTTTTTTAGAGTAGCCATCCTAATGGGTGTGAGGTTGTGAAATTAATTTTAAGAAGACATTTTATTTATCCCAGTGTATCTAAATATTATCAAGTCTACTTATAATCAATAAAAAATCATGAGATATTTTACATTTCTGTGATACAAAGCCTTTGAAATCTGGTATGTATTTTATAATGAGAGCACATTTTAATTAAGACTAGCCTCTTGGGGGGTGCCTGGGTGGCTCAGTTGTTAAGCGTCTGCCTTTGGCTCAGGTCATGATCCCAGGGTCCTGGGATCGAGTCCTGCGTTGGGCTCTCTGCTCCGCGGGAAGCCTGCTTCTCCCTCTCCCACTCCCCCTGCTTGTGTTCCCTCTCTCACTGTCTCTCCCTCTCTGTCAAAATAAATAAATAAAATCTTAAAAAAAAAAAAAAAGACTAGCCTCTTGGGGTCCTGGAGATAAGGATGTTCCTTTCCTCTGGATATAGGGAGGGCATTTCTCACATGAAGGTCTCATGACCTGCTTCAAGGGAGAGTCAAAGAGTCCTTCCTGCACCTGCTGATTCTCAAATTCTTTCAGTGTAAAATAGTCAATATGTCAAGATGCTATATTTTGGGTTGGCGTGTCCTGAACCCTGTCACTATCACAGCAACACACAGAAAACTGGGTTCATTGGAGGATAAATATTATCTCTCTAACACCACTAAGATTTGAGAATGTGATCTTAGTCTCTTTAGAATTATTTTCAGTATAAGCCAAGGAAGAGTAAGGGTTAACTATTAATCATCAGCATTCCAATGTGAAAATGTATATGCAGAGGCCAGGAAGCTGTCTCATAGGGGTTGGGAGTGGGGCTGGGGCGTTGTGAGTATCCCATGGGGCAAGTCAGGCCCCCACCCTGGATTTGTTCCAGGACTCCTGGTTGACCACATGGAGCCTGCAAATGAATGAGAGAAAGGTGCTCCCTCTGGGTAGAGTAGGTGGAGCGCGGGCTGGATTTGAGCATAATCGCACTTCCTTATGTAGTGAACAGCCTGTTCAGCCATGGCACTGGCCCTGCAAAGTCTCTCTAGGGCAGTCACTTTGTCTGAGGCAAATTTCCATTCACTGAGTACACCAGGTTAATAGATAAAAGTAAAAGGCCCATTGATTATTTTTCTTTGAGAAGTCACTACCACAGGGATTGAGATACCTATGTTATTAGGAGTGGTGAGTACATTCTAAGCTAGTTACATATATTAACTAATGTAACCCTCACAATTACCCTATTATATGATTATTAGCTCCATTTCTAACATATGAGGAGTCTGAGGCTTACAGAGGTGAAGTAATCTGCTCAAGGTCACCCAGCAAGTAAACGACAGAGTTGGATTTGAACCCAGCTGTCTAGTTTCCTTAGGCAAGGCAATGAGAGGCCCCACTTCCTTGAGTCATTGCTGACCTGGAGCCTGTGAAGGTCACCATTGCTCCTTCACCTTGTTTCCACTTGTGTTTGAAAAGCCACACATCCGAATGGGCAGTCTTTTCTTAGATGTGCTAATACTTTCACTCATCAGGGATACAAAGTCTGGGATCCACTCTGGATCCTTAAGACGACTTTGTGAATCTTTGCTCTGGACTGCAGGCTCAAGACTTCAAGGCTTCCCTTGAAGGGTGATTGCTTCACCCTCATTTCCTAGTTATTTTGGGACATCTCCCCGGAGTACCCAAGTTCTGACAACTAACACCCACTCACATAACCAGAAAAGACAAACCAGCCTGAAAATTTCAGAGGACAGATTGTCTAGTATTGCTCTCCTTATACAATAAACTTTTGAAATGTTGCAAGCACACACACACAAAAAAAAAAAGAAAAGAGAAAAATTCTGGAATGTGTAGGTATTTCGATGCTTTCAGGAAGCTGGCTGTTAGAGGAACCCTAATGTGAAGGCTTTTGTTAAATGGAGGACCAGATTTGTAAATCAAACAATTACCCACCAGCCAGATAAAAACAACAGCTTCCATTTCCTGGCATTTACTAAGACTAGAAACTGTGCAAGGGCTTCACATCCATCCTCCTCCTCATCTCTCTCTCTCTCTTTTCGTAACAGTTTCATTGTGACATAATTCACATACTGTGCCATCCATCCTTGTAAAGTCGGCAATTTGGTATTGTAAGTATATTCATTCACAAGATGTACAACCCTCACCACTACCTCATTCCGTCACATTTCCATGATCCCAAAAAGAAACCCCATACCAGTTAGTCATCACTCCTCGCTCCTTCTCCCCCAGCTCCTGCCTAGCCACTAACCTACTTTCTGTCTCCAAAGATTTGCCTATTCTGAACATTTCACATCAGTGGAAGTGCACAGCATGTGGTCTTTTGTGCCTGTGTTCTTTCACTCAGCATAACGTTACCAAGGTCCATCCATATTGCTGCAAGTTATCAGTACTTTACTGTTTATGATCAAATAATATTCTATCGTGTGGATATGCCACATTTTGTTTATCTCATCAGTTGATAGGCATTTGGGTTATTTCCACTTTTTGGCTATCATCATCTCTTAATCCTTTTGCCACTCTTAGAAGTATGTGTTGTCCTCTGTTGATTGGTTGAATTACATTTTCATAGAACACTGACAATGACTAATCTTCCCAGGAAATCCTTGACTGGACTTAAAGTCCCAGAGACCAGTCAAGCACTGGTTCTTCTATCAGGAAAACTAGTGTTCCGGATTTCAGCCTTCTTTCCACTCCCCTCCTCTAACTTCCATCAAAGGAAAATGTCCTGAGCCCTAAATCCAGCTCCTCGAGGCAGAGATGAGTCTATCAAAAACTTCTGGCATTACTTTGTTCCCAGTGCTTGGAGGACTCCAGGAGACCATATGGTCCTTCCCACAGTCCACCAGATTCTTGCAGAAGAGCACAGTGGATCAGATGTTCCACTTTGCGAGCCTGGCTCCATTCAAATACCCCATCTGACAGTTAATAGGGGAGTGACTTTGGTTAAGTTAACTTAACCTCCCTGAGCTTCAGTTTGGTTATTATAGAAAGGAGTTAATAACATTACCTTAGAGTAGCTGTCAGGAGCAAGTCAAGTGTGTAGGGCGGAATCTGTCATACTGTAAACTCAACTACTGACTTCCTATCTACCTATTTGTGCTGGGGGATATCTCTGTGCCAAATTGCTACTCCCAAATCCACACATGCTGGTCCTTTTCCACTAATCAACCCTAACTCCCCACTATACCCCACTATCTTTTCCTGGTTAACTTCTTACCCTTTTGATCTCATTTTAAAATGCCAATTCAGTGGAAAAACCTTCACGGGCACCTCCACATTCCCCTCTTTCTTAAAGTGTTCTGCATTTTTCCTTCATTACTTTATCAGTTTGCAATTTTCTATTTTTTTGGGGGGGGGTCCATTAACTGTGCACTCTACCAGGGACTTTGTCTTGCTCTCTGCTATTTCCTCAGTACCAACAGTAGTCTAGGATCATAGGAGGCATTCATCAAATATTTATGGAAAATAGTCCAACTCGTCCCTGAACTCGGGTACAAAGAGGGAAATCATCCTCCCCCAAATCACACAGATTAGTATCTGCCCCAAGTACCCTATTCCCAATTCACGCTCTATCCCCCGAGCCTGGTAAGTATTTTCCTAACGTGCCTCTTAATCTATTTAAGCGCCAAGGAACATTCCAGAAAGGGGGGGGAGAGAGAGAGAGAGACAGAGAGAGAGTAAAACAGAGGGCAAAAGAGGGGAAGCTATTTGTGTTTTGGCCCGATTCCTTCTCTCCCGACCTTAATGCGGGCATGCTGCGAAGTGACGGATTACAGCAATAACGACGAGGCAGTGCGGCGCGGACCCAGCCATTCAAGGAGGATGAGACTGAGTGGGGGAGGGGTGGAAGACAGGCGATTGATCCTGCACAGGCGCAGCCGCGACGCTCTGCCCTTCCCTCCCCGCCCCTCCCCTTCCCGCTCGAGTCACTAGACGCCGGGCGCAATCAGCTGACGCGGCGCTGCGGTCGTCACGTGACGGCGGGCGGGGCGCCGGCGCAGGCGCAGGTCCTAGGCGGCTGGGTCAGCTGACCCGAGGGACACGCTCAAACCGTTTTAGGCCCCTTCCCTCGGCCTCAGAGTCGCCGCCGCCATGGCCAGCCAGTCGCAGGGCATCCAGCAGCTGCTGCAGGCCGAGAAGCGGGCCGCCGAGAAGGTGTCGGAGGCCCGCAAGCGTGAGTTTCGGGGTGGGGCGACCAGGCGTGGCGCGGGTGCAGAGGTCGCGGCCAGGCCTCGGGAGGTGGTAGGTGGATGAGGCCCAAAACACTGCGGCGTGGAGGGGTGGTGACAGTCGCGGAAGCTTGTGTGTCTCGAAGCTGTCAGGATCTGAGGCTCCGGAAGGCTTGTAGGTCGGCTGGAAGCTGCGATGTGGGGCAGTAGATAGGGCGAGGAAACAATAGGTGGATGACCTTCTTGGGGTCTGGGAGGCGCGTGAAATGGGCTGTTCCAACGGAACTCGTCGTCTTTCCCCGTCACTTGCTCCTTTGTGTTGCTCTGTCTCAGTGTACAGAGCTACCATCCACGCTGTTGCTCAGGCTAGAAACAGAGCCCTCTTTGCCGCGTCTCCTCTTGTCCGCCACGTTTAGTCAGTCGTGAAGATGTTTATTATGGTTCTTCACTTTTCCCCACCCCTACAGCTAGCATCTTAGTCCGGGACACTAGATTTTCTGAGGCTCTGGTACCAGCCTGATTCGTTAATTTCTTAAAAAGAAAAAAAATTTTTTAATGTGGTTAATATGTGCCAGACGCCTTGCCCGGTGCACCAGTGTCTCCATCAACACGGTATTCAGAGTCCCAGTGAAGGAAGCAGATACTGGGTGGGTTCGTTGCAGGTGACCTGAAAGCTAAAGTTGAGAAATGTAAGGTTGCTCAAGAACTTCACAGGTGGATCTAATCTAGACTGGTGAGTGGGAGAGGGCCTCGGCCTCCTTCAAGTCCATTCTCCTCACTGCAGTCAGAGCCCTCCCTGGGATGCAAATAGGACTTCCCCACCACCTTTACAGCCACCAAACGTTGAGTGCCTGCAGAATAAAGCCCAGATTGCTTCATAGGGTGTATACTGGCCGCGTTTTTTGGATCCGGGTCTAGCTTTCTTCCCTTATCTCATTTTTAGGTTCTCTCCTCCAGGCATCCTGAACCACTGTGATGCCTTATTTCACCTGCAAGCCTTTGCACAGCTCTCTTCTCTGCTTGGAAGTCCTTTTTCCTAGTTTCCGATCTCTTTTGTCTAACACTTAGTCGTCCTCCAGATCTCAAAATGTAGGCAGCAGTTCTTCCAGGAAGCCTTCCCTGCCTTGTCCTCTTCTCAGGCTAGGCCAGGAGTCCTTCCTAAGAGCTTATTTCTGGCATCGCTGTGCAATAACTTGTTTTTTTATATGGCACAGTCACTAGACTAAGCTCCTGGATTACAGGGACTGTGTGTAATTCAGCTGTATGTATTCATTTTCCCATCTGGTGAGATAGGTATTTCTATCCCTATTGTACAGATGGGTGAAATGAGACTTAGAGAAATGATTTGACCATACCCTGGGAAGCAGCATAGTGGCCTAGAGGCCTCTTTTCCCATGCGAGGGGATAAAATAGCAAGAACTATTAACTCTTAGTGATTCCTTGGTGTGTCTCCTGTTATGACTTACACTTTTATCCCACACAGAAGTAGATTGCAAGCATGGCTCTTGTACTTTCTGGATTAAGGGGCTGTGTGATAGGAAAAGCTTTCTTTGAGGGAGCTGGAGATGGGAACAAGCCTTTTATTCTTGCTCTGGTGACTGGAAAGTTCTGTGTTCTTCATAGACTATTTCTCATCACGCTCTTGATAAAGTATTTCCAGAATGACTTTTCAGAGTTTGTCCTGTGATGGCTCATTAGTAACAGAAGTTGTGTCTGTTGGGAAGCATGTGAGATTATTTGGGGGAGGTGCAGGAACAAATACTTGGAATATGGTAAGAATAATTCTGAATGTCTTGGAGGTAGGGATCACGTTTTACATTTTTATCTCCTCAAGCTTGGTGCAGGGTCTTGTACATCTCAGATAGCTGTTAGATATTTACTGAATGAATCTGTTTTAAAGGAGTGAGTTAATGGCTAGTATACATCTCAGAATTTGCAGTAATTAGGAACAGAAGTATTGACAAGAACTACAATTTGAAAAGAATCACTGCCTTTGTTTGATCTGTAGTGATGGTTAACTTGCCCAGTTAGGAATTGGGAAGAGGCAGTGCATGATGTGACAAAATGGTCCAGCCTAAATTTTTCATGAAATCATTGCTTTGGACCATAAAACTTAATCGTGTTACGGTTTATTTCACTGGAGTAAAACAAAATATTAGCTCCCTGAAAAATAAGGTTTAAAAGAAACATGATTTACTGTTCAAATATTTATTTTTGGTTTTCAGAGAAGTCTATCAGAATTGAACTTTGAAGATACCTGACGGGCAGAGAGTGGTTTTATCTTTTTTTTTTTTTTTTTTAAGATTTTATTTAT